ATTACAGAAGTAAGCCACTACACACTGTAGTGTTTCCTTATTATTGAGTTTTGAGAGCTCTGTATATTATTACGTGCAGGATCAAGTCTGTCTTAGTTCATATTGTGCTGCCATAACAGAATACCTGAGACTGGGTAATTGAAAAAGAACAGACACTTACTTCTTAGGGTCCTGGGGGCTGCCAAGTCCAACCTCAAGACACTTAGAGGTTTGATCTCTTGTTCAAACAGGCACCTTGTTTCTGCATCCTCTAAAGAGAAGGCATATTATGTCTTCATATGGCAGACTGAAAGAAAAGACTGCTTGTGTGGAGTCAGGGCAGTAAGAGCTAATAGTGTTCTATGTAAAAAACAAATAGGAAGCTTCCAGCCAACTGAAAGGGTTCCCTTTAAAAAGCTGCCTCAGAACCTTCTCCCAATGCTTTTCTCATATCATTGCTACCTGCTCCTACCTTCAAGGAAAGTTGGGAAATGTTTGGTTTTTTTATGGTTGGCATAATACCACTTCTACTAAATAAGGGGTCTGTATCTAAAGGAAGGGGAGCAGATCATTAGGTAGACAATGGCAGTCTTTTAAAAAAATATTCGTAAGCTAAAGAGTCTCTTTTCAGGTTAATTCATGCAAATATTTGTCTTAGAGACACAGCCTAATCTATATCATAGCTAATACATCTGATATGCAATGATAGTAATTCCAAGGAGCAGCAAACAAGACTGTCATGTTAAGTTTTGAGTTATTAATTTTATTTTTAATGGTATTTCCAAAAAGAAATAATATAACATAGGGTCAGCCAAATCCTCTGCTGTTGTTGATGGCTCCTTGAAGTGCTTCTTCCATTCTTTCCATCGTAGAATATTTGGGAAGGTAGAGGACACTAAAACACGTGTGTGCTCTCATGGGATCGCTTTCAGTCGAATTTTCAATATAGCGAAAAATTATTTTCATGTTCTTTAAATCTTTAATTTGTGTTCTGTCAGTTGCTGTAAGAAACACTATGAAGAAAAAGAAAATGGGATGATCTGTTTCACATAGATACCCAAACCTTTTTTATTATTGTTTGTCGAGACAGACTTTCACTCTGTTGCCCAGACTAGAGTGCCTTGGGGTCAGCCTAGCTCACAGCAACCTTAAACTCCAGGTTCAAGTGATCCTTCTGCCTCAGCCTTCTGAGCATCTAGGATTACAGATGCCTGTCACAAAACTCGGCTAATTTTTCTCTATTTTATTATTTTTATTTTATTTTAATTATTTTTCGAGACAGAGTCTCACTCCGTTGCTCTAGGTAGAGTGCCATGCCCAAGCAATCCTCCTGCCTCAGTTTTCCTATTTTAAGTAGAAACAGGGTCTCACTCTTGCTCAGGCTGGTCTCAAACTCTTGAGCTCAAGCAATCTACCCTCCTTGACCTCCCAGAATGCTAGGAATACAGGCAGGAGCCACCACGCCTGGTCAAATTCTTCTATTTTTAGTATAGATGGGACTTTGTTCTCATTCTGGCTTATGGTAAACCCTTGAACTCACATGATCCTTCTGCCTCAGCCTCCCAGATTACTAGATTACAGGTGTGAGCCACTGTGCCTACCTTAGACCCAAAACTCTTCACAGAGGGAAAAATCTATTTATTAAAAAAAATTATTGTGGGCCCATGCACAGAGAGCTCCATTAGGCAGTGCATTGGGGACTGTTTCAGGACATAGTCTGACACTTAGTCACTGCCCTCTAGCAGCTTAAAGTCTGAATGGGAATATCAGAATCTAGTGAAGAAAGAGACAAACAGCATGAGAAAATGTGTAAGGTACAAGGTAGCCAGCGACAGTGTCAGAGAGTTAAATGCATTCTGAACATAAACGCTGAGCTTCAGAGCAGGGACAGACCCAGACTGGGATGACTGCAGGGACTTCTAAGAGTTCAGAATTATGCTGGACCTTAAAGGAGGGAAAGGTTGAGAGACTCAGCAAGGAGGGAAGTGAGAACAAGGATGGAGAAAGTACTTCAGAAAGAGCGTGGAGGTGGGAAGGTGCCAGGGTCAGAAGATTCAGATGATGGATCTGTTTGGTTGGAACAAAGATTTCTTAGAAGAGTTAAGATCAGAAAGGTAGGTTGGGCTTCCATATAGGTCTGAATATCATCTAACCATGTTATCCACAAAAGAATAAGAAGATTAATTTTTCTCAAAAATAAGTAAGGACATAGAATAAGAAAATGAAAAAGAATATTAAGCCAGCCTCAGGAAAATCATCTTGGTAAGCATATAACTGGAGATGAGGTCGGATAAGGTGGTTCACTGCCTGTAATCCTAGCGTTCTGGGAGGCCACAGCGGGTGGATTGCTTGAGCTCAAGAGTTTGAGACCAGCCTGACTAAGAGCAATAACCCCATCTCCACCAAAAATAGAAAAAACCTAGCCGGGCATTGTGATGGGCACCTATAGTCCCAGCTACTAGGGAGGCTGAGACAAGAGAATTACCTGAGCTCAAGAGTTTGAGGTTGCTATGAACTGTCACACCTCAGCACTCTACCAAGGGTGACAAAGTGAGAGTCTGTAAAAACAAAAACAAAAACAAAAACAAAACTGAGATGTGAGGTAAAACAGTCTTAGAGAAACAAGTAAAATAGCCTGTGTATAGCAACATCAAAGATAGTAACAGTCCTAGAGCAACAGTAAAAATTAGCCAAATAAAATATATTGGTTAATCCCATAAGGGCT